CGAAGCCAAGCGAAGCCAAGCGAAGCAAAGCAAAGCAAAGCCAAGCCAAGCAAAGCAAAGCAAAGCAAAGCAAAGAGAAAAAGAGAGAGAGAGGGACAGGGAAAGAGAGAGACGACCGAGGCAGGTAGGTTGGGCTCGAGCCACTCACAGTTAAGAGGGGCACACAATCTTGGCTGCAAGCCGCTTTGGGTCCATAGGACATGTGAGGCTCTCTTGGATGCCTTGTCACGAGCCCCTCTTTACAAACTGGAGTGACAATGCAGGAGCCAGTTTCCCCTTCCTTCACCCCGGTTGACAGACAGAAAGAGAGAGAGAGAGAGAGAGTGAGTGCTGGTTTGAGGCTTCCGTTCGGGATCGAGGCAGGGTCAGGCAGGTAAGGTGGGTCACACGGTCGCACGCCAAGTGAGCCAAAGTGGGGCGCACAACTTTCCGAACCTGTCCTAGGTTGGCCTGTTAGTCAGTGCCTCTAGTTTGTTTACCAGGGACCCCCGCAGGAGGCAATAGCCAGTTCTTTGCGGCCTAGCAGCCGTACCTCACGTACAGACGAGCCCCTTCCATTGAAAATGCTGGATGGGGGAGTGAGTATGCAATCCTGCCCCGTCCGAGTAGACCTTATCACAGTCCCTTCAAAGCCCCATAACACAGTCCCTTCAAAACCCCATAACACATGGGGGGGCCCATGTGGCCGAGGGACCAGTCCCTTATGCCCAGCGGAAGGTGAGTGAGTGAGTGAGTGAGTGAGTGAGTGAGCGAGGGAGTGAGTGAGTGAGTGAGTGAGTGAGTGAGAAAGTGAGAGAGAGTGAGAGAGTGTGTGTGTGCGTGCGTGCATGCGTGTGTGGCCGTGTGTGGCCGTGTATCTGCGCTTGTGCGCTTGTTTGCCGACAGAACATGCATCTCCCGAGCCATTGCTGCACGAATGCTTCTTGGAATGCCGCCACGGCAAATGACATAAGGTTGGGCATCGAGACCGGCTGTGTGGGTGTGGTCGCCGCCGACACTAGTGCTTTTGCCTTGTTAGCCTTGTTGTGTCGGTGGAATTTTCAAGCTTTAGCACGGACGATCGTTTGGGGGCCACAGCCATAGGCAGCAGCAGCAGCCAGTTTGCATCCAGGAGTTTTCGTACTTAGTGCAGGAGCAGATTTGACGACAGAGAGGGAGAGAGAGACCCTGGGCCAGATCTCTTCATTACGTTCACCGCGGACAGCTGCAACGTTGTATGTGTTTTGGCTGCAGCGATGCTTGTGTACTGTAGGTGCGGGAAGCATGTCTGCTCACAAGTGCAAGGTGGCGATGGCATTCGGCACGTCGTAGCTGGCGAGGACAGCCTCTTTGCATGCCAAGGCAACAAAGAGTGTACTGGTTTGAGTCAGCTTGATCTCCAGTGTCCCGAGGAATGCGACGATGGAAACTTGATTGACGGAGACGGTTGCTCAAGGCTCGACGAAAGCGAGGTTTGGAGCGTGGCATGCGGCTTGGTGTTCTCAGGGACTGCCGCATCGAAGCTGGCTTCACATGTCCGACGCACGGGTGGCCCTCTGCACCAGCCTTACGAAGCCCTCTCGACAACCCAAGAGAAGAACTCTGAAGCCTGTCGAGAGGTTCTGCTGACCCCTTGTGTGCCAATTTGCGGAGATGGCCTGCGGGTCGGCGATGAGGACTGGTGTGAGCTTGCATCTGAAAGCCGTCTGTTGGATTCAATGCCACTTTGTGGACAGCGTTCCATAATAAGTTTGGTTTGTTTTGTTTTGTGCAAAGGACATGGGCTCAGGACTGCGTCCTATACACCCAAAGCTCTGTAGGTTGTGCCTTCACAAGGACTGCGACGACAACAACACAGAGTCTGGTGATGGCTGCAGTCCGACCTGCGAGGCGGGGTGGGGCGCGGGGGAGGGCTTCGGCTCGCCAGCCCGATGCAAATTGCGGCCTGAGGGTCTTGTGTGTTGAAGGGCTGCGAAGCCTCTGTGATAGGTGGAAATTGGCTGGTTCTGCAAGCGAGCTGGCACAGGCGTGGGCTTTGAGGCCAGGGCACTGGCTTCCAGGTCAGTCGAACGGGCCAGGAGACCGGGATTTGCTTGCGTAGTAATCGTGGGAAAGGATTCAAAGAACGCAGGCCAGGGAGTCGCTCCAAGTTGCTCCACGGCGTGTCTTGCAATCGAACCGCAAGGCTCCCGGGCCACGACGATGACGACGCTCTAAGCCTGAGGGCCCGGGTCGACACACCAACACTGCCACAACAGCACCTGCACCGCTATGAATTCCACACGGTCGCCGGTTCCAGCTCTGAATTGTCAAGCAGAACTCTCCTACTGTAGTGTTGACATGTCGAAGCTCGATGGCAAACGTTGGAGCTTTCGTCCTGAAGCCGGCCAGTTTTTTGTATGAGGTGTGTCTCCAGACCTGCTTGAATGGCATCATTGACCCCGGAGAAGATTGTGACGATGCCAACACGGCCGCTGGTGCATTCAAGGCAAATGAAGGAACAGGTGAGCTCCAGGCTGTATTGAACAGTGCTTAAAAGATGCGAGCACGGCAAGCAATCCCCTGCCTGATCTGAGTTCAAGAACGACGGGTGTGCCAACTGCATCCTCGAGCCGGGATGGAGATGCTCTGAGCCCAGCGACGCATTCACACTTGTTTTTGAAGACCTCCTTTTTCCCGCATTCATCAAAAAGAGCAGGCGTAACGTCGTTGTTCCGTGCTCTAGCGTAAGCCGAGCAGAGGCATCGTTTGCGCCGCCTCCTCATATATATATATATATATATATATATGTATATGCATACTAACAAATAACAGTAGTAGTAGTAGTAGTAGTAGTAGTAGTAGTAGTAGTAGTAATTATAAAAAGTTTTCGATTCATTTGTTTGTTTTTTGAAGTACTTTTTTAATGGGTGGGTGTGTGTGTGTGTGGATGGACAAATAGTTAGAAAGGTAGACAGATGGAGATTGTATGCTTGCACACTCACTCACCGATTTAGTTTCTCGCGCAATTATGTATGTATGTATGTATGTATGTATGTATGTATGTATGTATGTATGTATTTCAGCATATTTCAGCACACCCGATCGTGCAAAGTCAGGTGAGCCGATTCAACATCGTTTCACGAGCACGTCCTCGGGCAGCCAGTGCATGCCCGTCTGTGGCGATGGCTTCCGCATCGAGCCGGCGGCAAGCAGAAAGTTCCGGGGCCGGGGGCGGGGTCTCAGGGCGGACTGCTCGACTCAGGCTCGGGCCTGCGGCAGAGGAGTGCGACGATGGGAACAACCTGGTCAGCGCCCAGCTTCTCGCAGAGAGCGAGAGCATGCGAGAGCTGAGAGACGCTTTGGGAGGCGGGTGACGGCTGCGACCCGGTCTGCCAACTCGAAACTGGTTGGCGCACGAAGGTCCAGGCACCGCTCCCCGCCCCCACTTCCCCACCCCCCACAGGGACTGCACTTTGCGTGTTTGAGCCAGGCAGATTCAAGCAAGCTGCTGCTGGAATCCATCTGTGGCGATGGACTTGTAGTGGGCAGCGAAGGTTGCGATGACGGCAACCTGGACACCTTTTGCAGAGTCAGCTTTGCAGTCAAGTTACAACTTGTCGGAACAGGGTGATACCGCTCTGCTGTCAGTCCTCCTCAGGACCCTGGGGACGGATGCAGCACCACCTGCAACATGGCTCCGCCCCAAGATTGGGCAGACCAGAAGCTTGCAACAATTGCACAGCGGAAGAAAGTCTCTTCCGGCCAAGGAGCCTGGCTTCGCTTGCACTCCTGAAGATGCTATGACGAAGCCGGAGGCAGCCGATCCCACGCCTGTCACAAGAGTTGAACGGTGCTTGGGATGGCAGGCAGCCGCTGGGCCACCGTTTGCCGCTCAAAACAGGATGGAGGGTTGTGTTGCGAGGGTCCTCCATCTGCCATCAGGCAGAAGACTTTTGTATGATCCAGAGATTTGCACCAGCAGCCTTCTCGAAAGAAGTTTGCTTCCCCACTTGGAGGAGCATTTGCGTGCCTGTATGCGGTGATGGCGTAGTGTTGGTCGGCAACGGAGAGGAATGCGATGCTTTGACCTCAGTACGGATCTGAAAGAAAATGCGACTTCAGTGTACCACCCTCAGGATGGAAACCGTGTTCCCAATGATGGCTGTGCCTCAGCCTCAGACCCACCCCTCTGCCCGGGCAGCATACATCTGCATGTTGACGACGCAGGGCTGCCTCCAGTCTAAAGCCCTACAGACCCGCAGACAGGACGAGAATTGCCGAGTGGAAAGTGGCTATGCCTGTGGCATCCAAAGCGGAGGCGCTGCCTGAGCCGCAACCCGCAGCCAGAGTTTGCACCCCTCTCAAATGCACCCTCAAAGCATGGGTTTTGCTGTGACAGGTGCTTCGTCGCTGACCCGGTCTGCCTGCACACCCATCTGCAGCAGTCTCAGCATGGGGCATGGTGCAGTGAGAGAGGCCAGCTATGCAATGCTCTGCGAGGTGGAGATGGCTTGTTGCGGGCACCAGAAGAGTGCGACGATGGAAACGATGGGAAGGGAGAGCGGCGCTTGGATGCTTGTAGCAGGCGTACAGAACAGTCTCCAGCAAGTTCCGTGACGCCCACTACGCCTCCGTCCGCCTCAGATGCTTCTTCTCCCGACTGTTTTAAACTTTCTGCCCAGGATGGATGTGACCAGCACTGTAAGCTTGAAGAGGCATGGGCCCTCATCTTCTTGAGATGCTGGGCATAGCGGGGGCAGAGTGTCGGATTTTGCGGAGGACTGTGATGCGGTGTGGGTGCTTCTCAAAAATTAGGGATAGGAACAACATCCGTCGGGGAAGCCTAGAACCTGAGACGGGGGTAGCGACTTGCGTCAAACACGACGGAAGTTGCGTGCCATTGCGTGCCCGTTGGCAATTGGCAAACGCACGACTTGCCGCGTCTGCCACGTGTTTGAAAGAGCAGGGAGCAACATCCTGCAGCATGACCCTTGTGGGAAGACCCAAAGCCCGAAAGGGGAGCAACTCGCGGGAAGCAATCACAGCTTTTTTGACAAGTTCCGGGCCTGTTTGAAAGAGGCAAACTCACGTCACGCAGTTTGCAGGCAGAGAATGGCAGAGACACAGGAGGATGCAGGTCGAAGAGCTCCGACCCTGACTGGATCAACTACGCGCGATCGACACTGAACGTCTGGATTCTTACCCGTCTGCTTCTGGGAACACCGAGACTCTTTACAGCAGAGCTTGAAGGAACTGTGACTTGATTGTGGATTCCTGACTTCTCTCTTGCTGCATGGTCCTGCCAACACGAAGCTTCAAGTCTTGTTATTTCGACAACCGACATGTGAACAAAGCTTCCTCAGACGACCCAAAAAACCCAAGCCCTACGTGCCGACGAGCACAGCAGCATCTCGCGTCGTATATGGACTGGCCAGGGCTATCGTTGTTGGCCACCTGGGGCCAGGCTCTAAGTCTTGCACGAAAGTTGCGAGCCGTTGACAATCGGAATATGGGATCTAAGTCGAGCAGTGCCCACTGTTCTAGGCTGGGACAGCAGCCTTGTGGTGCTGAAGTTCAGGTCATTGACCTGCGTGTGGGAAAGGCTAACTGTCACTGTCAGTTTAGCACAAGTAGGCCAACCCCGTACGCCCCGCACGTTCACACTAGGCTTAGGGCTTACGACTAGAGCAGTCTGCTTTCTCAGGCAAGCTCCAGCTTGTGCAATGGAATTGCCTAGAGTCAGCATCTGCAGCAGCTTGTGGTGTAAGAGCCGGTTTTCACCCTGCCTTCCCTCCTCTGTGCCCGCCAGCCGGAATCGAAGTTGCTTTCCAACCGATGTTGCCCAGGCAGCCTGCCGGCAGCTTTGTGGCGATTATCTGCGCTTGGAGGGGGAGGAGAAACATCCACGACGGGGTGATCTCGTCTAACCCAGGTTTCCAGGGTAGGCAAAGGGCTCAGCAGATTCTGGACGATGTTGTGTAGTGTACCCATGATCTCCAGTCGCTCGCGCTTATTGTTCTACAGACGAGGGCATCTTGCCGATCGTACCCAGACGGCTTTGGCTGGGCCACATCAGTCAGGAGTGCGACGATGGCAACCTGCTTTTAGCAGATGGCTGCGACAGCAGTTGCCATGTGGAGGTGTCCGTCGGATCCTCCGTGAATATGGTTTATGCTTTCGCATCTCTTCCCAGTGTCAAGGCTCTTCCTGCTTTCTGCGCAGGTGGGTTGGACGTGCCGCTCCTATGTCTACGGGCCCACGAACGCGACATCTCTTTGTTCTCCGATCTGTGGAGATGGGATGATCAACGGGGCAGAGGCTCTGCAGATGCGAGATTTCTCGCTTCCGAGTGCCGGTCGCATGGCCTTTGTGCTAGCCGGGGATCACGTCTTGGCTGCAGGACATGTGATTGCTCAAGCAGATTGCACATGTGCTATCCTAACTTCCACCGGAGATTAAACTCCGTGGCTCGAAGTTTGCTCCTATGCCATGGCCTCCAGAGCCCGTGGCCTAGACTTTCAAGCTCTGGTCGTGCCGCCCTCGTCATGGGGTGATGCCGCTGCAATAAGCCCGACCGCAACGGATGGCAGTTTTATTGTTTTCTTCCCTGGTGTTGGGTTCAAATACCTGGACCTGTCGCTAGACAACGCTTCATGGAGAGAAGGGGGGAACTTCTCAGGCGCCATTGCTTCACAAGTCGGCATGCTGCATCATCAAACCGGAGACTCTTGTTACATATCCTTTGCAGAGACGCCACCGAAGTCCTGGGTGTGCTACCAGCTTGTCTGCAAAGATGGCAAAGCTCCATCTCCACAGCTGGCAGAGAGGGTGTGCCTGCCAGGTGAGATCCGAGCCGCTTGTGATGCTGGTGATGGTTTTGCGGCTCTGGCAATCTCAAGTGGCCAGCTCCGTTTTGTGGACTTAGCAAGTGGTAAAGGAGGCAAAGGCCTCAAGCTCGGCGAAGCCAAGAAATGCGTGGCATTGACCCGACTTGCAAAACGCAAGGTGCTCATGGTTCGGGATCGTGCGGATCGTGCGAGCATCGGGCCGGAGTTTCTGATCATCGAGCTGGACGAATTCCAGGCAGTGTCCTTGCAGAGGCGGGGCATGCTTCACACGGGTTCCAGCCCTCTTGCGGGACGGATCGAATCGGCGGTGGTAACCCACGAGGAAGAGGAGCGTGTCTTGCTCTGCTGGCGGGAGCCAGTCATGATGAATGGAGGTACACCCAATGGCCACACTGAGCAGGGAACGGTGTGCCACGTAGCCACGACTGTGCTGAGAGACAAAGACAGCAATCTGGTACGGTTGCCCGAGCCCTCGGCGAGTTGCCAAGTGGCAGCCATCGCGGGCTACTACGCGGAACTGCACCGTGAAGGTAGCACGTTATCCTTCCACCTGCGGGAAGCTCGCTACGGCTTGGCTGTGGCATCCGGGCAGGCATCAATCCAGATCGACTCGAAGTCACAGCACACGGTCTCCGCTCAGACGGCCGGTTCGGTGACCTTAGTGTACGCTGGAGGAGGCTTTGCAGCCATCAAGTGGCAGCTGCCACTCTTCTCGCTGAAGGGCCTCGTCGCTCGGCGCTCCGAATCGCGCCAAGTGCGAAGAGCACTGGATGGGGGCGCAGCTGCATTGAGCCGGAAACGCAAGCGCGACGAAGAGGATGGACACAAACAGCTCTCCATGCAAGGCCTGGCAGAACTGGTTCGTCGTTGCGGCGCCTTGCAGAAAAACGATGTCGCGCTGCTAAAGGCCTGTCTGAAGCCGGAAGACCTACACTCCGTCATCAGGACCCTGCTGAATTGGCTGCGCTTACATCAAGGCATACCTGCAGCGGAGATAAAGAAAGTCGCTCCGAGGATGCCGCGACTCGCTTCGATAGTTTGTTTCCTGAAGGCAATGGTTGATGCCTTCCTGCCAGTGATTCGTGATATAGCACCAGACGACATCGAAGCTGTTCTAGAACGACTGGTCGTCGCGCAGGGTGCCTCCCGGCGAAGTGAGAAGCTCTACGCACGAGCCCGAGAAGCATGCAGGCAATGCCAGGAAAAGCCTCGAGCGAGCGAGGTCAACACGAAGAAGAACCTCGAGATACAACGGAAGCTGAAAGCTCCGAAAGTGGAGATAAGTGTCTTGAGGTTTTAAGATGTCATCTCATGTTTCACCCTTAGACGTCTGCGCGTTTGCTGTGCCAAAAGCACGCCCCCGGGGGATGGTGGTGTCTCCCTGCTTTATCGCTCTCGAGTTTTGTCCTGCAGGCCTGCGATGATGGCAATCTGGTGCCAGGCCCGGCAAGAGCAACCGCCCACAGCCTGAAGCCACATGCAGCCAAAGCACGGCAGCATCTGCGACACTTGCGATCAAGCCACTGCAAAAATGTGCAGGTGATGGATGTGACGCAACATGCCAAGTTGAGGCAGGGCCGGATGCAGGATTTGAGACTGCAGTCTACTCGTACAACGTTTATCAGACGTCCATTGCATGTCATGTCCGAAGTCGGATGCAGGTGAATTACGTCTGCTGCGACCCGACACCGACTTCAGGCTGGGAGAGGAAGTCAGAGCGATGAAAGCAGCGCAGCTCCAAGAAATGACTCCTCGTGTGGGATGGTCATAGGCTCCAGTTGCGTCCCGGGCCTTGCTGCGGACCGGGAGCTGATCTGCGGAATACCAACCTGTGGCCCGGGCCCCAAAGCCCCAAAGTCCGCAGAAAGGGCTGATCTGTGCCGCCTGAGCTTCCATGATCCATGCGACGGAGGCAACGGCCGCCGCGATTCGGGTGAAGGCTGCGACGATGCCAACCGCGTTGCAGGCGACGGCTGTGGCCAGTTCTGCCAGGCAGGCATGGACAGCATGGGAGTGCAAGGGTGCCGCTTTTGTCGACCGCCCTCCCCCTGCCCTGCAAGCAAGCAAGGGCAGTTATGGGCCGTTTCTTGCCCAAGGTGGAGCCTGGATACGCGTGCATTCCCATGGCAGTGCAAGGACCAGGCCTGAAAATCCTGAAGACCTCACAAAAAGCTCGGCATCGTTGGCAGAACGCGTAAAGCCCTAGTGTGACGTTGCTCCGCATCGCCACCACACGGTGAAGCCGCTGTAGAAAGCCAACACAACAGCGGTGCTAGCAGCACACTCCTCACAATCGGTGACCAGTTTTCTGTCCTTCTCCTGTTATGCAAGCCATGAGGCTCATCTTTCTGTCTGCTACAGCCAGGCCGGAATGTGCCGGACTACTGTGAGGCCACGGTGGACCTATAGCAAGGTGTAGACTTGTGATGTCAGAGAAGGCTTATGCTCTTCGCTCCGCAAGCTCGCATAAACCCTGCTACGTATCGGCCTCTGTGTGCAAAGGCTGTCTGCGGGGATGGTTTGCTGGTGCTGGGCGAGGAGTGCGACGATGGCAACGTGGCGGGCCGTCCCAGAAACCAAGTGTAGTCGAATTCCGAACTAAGCGGCAGATACCAGGGCAGCATGCAAGGTTCAGCATCGTAACGTCTGAGTTGATCTTCATGGAGGTTCTACGACTACGGTGACGTTCCATCCCCTATCCCTCCACCCTCTCCATCCTTCCACCCCTCCACCCCTTCCATCCCTCCACCTCTCCATCCCTCCACCCTTCAACCCTCCACCCCCCCCTCCGCCCCTCCATCCCTCCACCCCTCCACCCAAATTTTCACCCCACCCCTCCATCCCTACACCTCTCCATGCCTCCACCCCCTCCACCCCTCCACCCTCTGAGTTGTAACCTGGGCGTGTATCCTCTCGCAAGGCGTACAGGAACACAGGCAATCACAGGTATCTCTTTTGCTACAGGCGCACCTGTAGATCAGTACTCTGCTAGAACTTTGAGCAACATACATGCAAATGATACGTGACACTGACAGGCACCTGGATGTGTAACACTCATTGACAAATTTGAAACAACGTAGAGCTGCATGGCCGTGAAGTCGGCATTCTACATTGCCTGTTCTTGCCCAAGAATGAATTACGAGCGGAGTGACATTGAGCTACACATGTGGAATCTTTACAAACTATACAACCTGCCTTTACATACTCTTCCTGGAGACAGCTTCCTTAAAACAAGGAGCTACTGTAGGTATTTCTTTCGTTCCCGGATCCGCAGTGTAGCCAGCCAAACTGATGCGGAGGTTTTTTTTTTAACGCCTCTTCGAGCGGAAGTCCGCTGCAGGGGACGGATCCTTTTCTGTCTCTGGAAGGGCGGATTTAATTTGGGAGTTGAGCAATACCCAGAAAGGATTCAGTCAGAGTTCTACGGCGTAGTCGGTGATGTTCTACAGGGTAGTCGGTGATTATCTTACGAGGGTTGAAGATGGTGGTGTGTCCGAAACGGACTCTGATTGAATCTGGACCGGGGGCAGGAGTCCACCCAATTCTCCCGCAACCGGGCTGACCAATAGTGTCCAGCAAATAATACTTTGAAGCAGCCTTGAAGGGACGGGATGAGGAGCTAGCTTAGTATCCCCTGGTCAGTAGCGCCAGGCTTTCTAGAATCCTAGATCATAAAGTGATGCACGGATTTGGATATAGAGGTTCCTCTCCTTGCTCCTATGCATCCAAGTTCCTCAGAATGGAGGTAGCTCACTGTACAGAGTGGGTGATCGGAATGTGGCCAAGACAACTGGTTTTTGTCCGATGAAAGACGTAGCCTTTGAGGGGTGGATACAGTTGGGCAACGGTCGAAGATTGCAATTGCAGTTTTCCCTAGCTAATCTCAACGTTTCGATACCCCTTGTAGGGTTAGTCGAAACGGGGAGTGCGTGACTTTCTGCCCAGTGCACAGGACCACCGTCACCGACGAGCTGTTATTTTGTTCGAAGCTGGAAAAAGATCTGGTCAGCGAGGCCGTTGGTTTGGCTGTCAGGCCCCCAAAACTTTGTCATTCAGGGTTCTTACCGTCAAGTTTGAGTCCTGGGTTGAATCCTTAGGTTTATCTCACTTTATATAAGGGTTTAGGGTTTAAGGTTCTAAGGGTTTAGGCTTTAGGGGTTTAAAGTTTAGGGTTTAGGGGTTTAAAGTTTAGGCGTTTAGGGCTTAAGGGTTTAGGAATTAAGGGGTTTCGGGGTTTAGGGGTTTAGGGGTTTAGGGCTCAGGCCTTAAGGGCCTAGGGTTTAGGGTTTAGGGGTTTAGGGGTTTTAGGGGTTGAGGGGTTTAGGGATTTAGGGGTTTAAGGGTTTAGAGGTTTAGGTTTCCGGCTTAACGGTTTAGCGTTTAGGGGTTTAGGGTCCAAGGTTTTGGGGTTTAGGGTTTAGGGTTTGGGGTTAGGGTTCAGGGTTTAGGGGTTTAGGGTTTATGGTTTAAGCTTGAAGGTTTGTAAATTGCGCTTTTAAGTGAATATGTTGTTCAAGTGATTCAAGTGGTTGAAAAATGGTTGAAATTTCAACTCGTTGAACAATGGTTTTCCTTTTGTGCTCCCTTGTCAAACGAGCTGGTTGAAATTTCAACCGGTTGAAAAGTCACTGTAGATATAAAATAAATCAGCTGTTCAAAAAATAACTGGAGGCCATAGCCTCTAGGTAAACATACGGTATAAAAAGTTGGCTGGTGTGTGGCTACGGTTTGGGTTTCTTCAGGACAATCTTTCAGGCTCTTTCGGGTTTAGGGGTTGAGGGCTTGAGGGTTGAGGGCTAAAGGGTTGAGGGCTTAAGGCTCGAAGGGTTTAGGGTTTAGGGGTTTAAAGTTTAGGGTTTAGGGGTGTAGGGGTTTAGGGGATTAGGGTTTNNGGGTTTAGGGGTTTAGGGTCCAGGTTGACAGTGGGGGATGTATAGCAGCATATTACACAATAGCATGTGAATATTACTGTGATATAATGATGTACTCATGTAAGGATCATTATGTAAATGCAATATATAATATCGTCATCTCATCATATAAGAAATATCGTCACAGAATGATGCGAGTCATATCGTCATGCATGCGTCATATTAGCATATTATGCGTGTATTAATTCATGATATATATATATA